CCGCCCTTGGGCAAGGGCGTGGGGCGGCTTCTGGGCGGCTAAAGGGGGGTGGGGTTGTGGTGCTGGTGATGGTGATGCTGGCGGTGGTGGTGCTGGTGGTGGTAGTGCTGGGTGGTGGTACTGGTGTTCGTGGTGCTGGTGGTGGTGTGGTGGAGGCGTTATTGGTGGTGGTGGTGGTATTAGTGGTAGTTGTGCTGGAGGTGGTGGTGCTGGAGGTGGTGGTGCTGGTAGTGTTAGTAATGGTGGTGTTGGTACTGGTGGTGGTGGTGCCGGTGGTGGTGCTGGTGGTGGTGGTACTGGTGGTGGTGGTAACGGTGGTGGTGATGCTGGAAATGGTGCTACTGGTGGTGTTGGTACTGCTGGTGGTGGTGCTGGTGGTGGTGGTGGTGCTGATGGTGGTGCTGGTGGTGGTGGTGCTGGTGGTGGTGGTACTGGTGTCGGTGGTGCTGGTAGTGGCGGTGCTGGTGGTGGTGGTGGCGGTGGTGCTTCTGGTAGCGGTGGTGGTTGCGGTGGGGGCCGGCACTGGCGACGGTGGTACTCGCGAGAGAGCGCGCTCGTAGCGACCAGGCAAGGGGGGAGCTTGCCCCCCCCTGGAGCTCCGCTAATCCGACGAGGAGCAATCCGCGAGTCGCGCTTTGAAGCGGATCGGCGGAGCGGCGCTCCGCTTATCCGATTCGAGGCGCCCTGGGACTGGCCCGCGCGCTTTTCGAGTCCAGGAATCGGCGCGCGCGCTTCGAGGCCAACTGCTGGAGCGGCATTCCGCTTATTCGACGGGGGGCATTCCGCGGATCGCACGTTTTGAGGCCGCAGCGCAACGGCGCTCCGCTAACCCGACGCGATGCACTCCGGGAGTCGGCGCCCATGTCTTGAAGTCAATTAGTGCTCCGCTAATCCGACGCGCAGTGCTCCGGGAGTCGCGGCGCGCGCTTCGAAGCCAATTTGCGGGGCGGCGCCCTGCTTATCCGACGCGGATCATTCGCGAACCGCATGCTTCGAGGCCGCTCCGCAGGGCTTGGCGGAGCGGCGCTCCGCTAGTTCGACGCCGAGCGCACGGGGGGTCGCCCCCCCGCGATGCCCCGGCGAGCGCGCGCGAGGTTTCGCCGCCAATGGGCCCCAAAAAAACTCCCCAGGGGCCCGAGAGGCCCGCCAGGGGCCCGCCAGGGGCCCAGGGCAGGCCCCGAGATGCCTTTGAACTGCATCCAAATGGCACCCGACAACCCCCCCCCCCGAGATCCCAGCGATCACCTGGTAGGCTTCGCGCCCGCAATCCAGGCGCGGCGTCGGGGCGGGCCGAAGGCCATTAGATGGGAACGCGGGCGGCCTCTGAACTGCGCCCTTTGAAATGACGAAGCAGAACGTGGGATCTGCGAGCAAGATCAACTTCTTCATTTTCCGCCACGCGATCCAACGCATCCGTGAAGTATGGCCTTTCGACGCAGCTGGCGGGAAGGCGTGGTCCTTGTTCGCCTCTAGGATCCTTCCTTGGTTGATGGCCCCCAGCGCAGCGCGGCCAGAACCCCCTGCGTCGCGCGGCGCCCCAGAAGAAGTGATAACTGCACCTCGGCGCGAAAGTTCGCGCGGCACCCGGGCGGGCGCGGCGATCCAAGCGCGGTCTAGCGACGATAAATGGCGCGCGTTCTCACGGGAGTGGGCCGGGTCGTCGGCCGAGAGCTCTTCCACTCGGCAGCGAAGTGGCGGGAGTTGCTGCGCTCGTCGAGGGGGCCTGTCCCCTGCGCCTGCAGCAGATCGAGCTTGCTGCTACAGGCGGACTTCAGTCCCCCCCCAGCCACGAACGGAAGACGACGCCCCGGATCTTGCCTTGCCCATTCTACTCCTTGCCGAAGAATGCGTGGGATGCGTGCATACGTGCGTGCGTGCGCATTTGTGCAACCTGCCTGCAAGAAAGGTCGAGGCTGCGAATGTTAGGTCGCCCCTGGCAACGGCGCGAGCGGCTCCTGGCGCAAGCTGGGGGCCGCGGGCGGCGCGCCAGCTCTCGCCCCCTATTGCCGCCGCGGACGGCCGCGGCTGTGGGCCCTTGCCCGGCCGCAGCGTCTACTGAGCTGCTCTGCGTGGGGTGGCATCCCAAAGTGCTCCGCAACGCAGACCAGTCACAGTGGTCAGGCGACGCACCGTGCCGAGTTCGGTCCGTGCCAAATGCGGTGGTCGCTGGACCACACCTGATCGCTGGTCTGGGCACGATTGCTGGCCTCCGTCGGAGGCCCGGGCATGATTGCCGGCACTGGGCCTGGGGATGATGGTCAATTTTACTGATTGGGCCACGCGGGCCAGATCGGGCAACTCGCGGCGAGCTTCCCGCTCGAAGCTTACAAATGCGTTGCTGAGCTGGGATGTTAAATGTCCGAGTCGCAGCCCCCTCAAAGCTCCTGGACGTGCATCACTACCACATGTTCACAGGCCCATTTTAAGCGGGTCAAATGGTGTGCCCGTTTTCACCTCCATTATTTTCAAACGCGCCCGCCGCCCGCGCGGCTTCTCACGCACCCCCTCACGCAGCTGGACAATTGAGCTGCCGAGTGTCTCCTTGCCCCCAGCGTCGTCCGTTTGATTATGGGGGCGCGTCTCGGTGTCATCAAGGTCTGGGCGAATGTTGGCGGAGGCGGCAACAGCCGCGCTGGCAAGGGCGATCGTGATAGCGTCAATGGGCTCTTGGATGACCAAGCTGATTGGGGCGACAGCAGCGGTGGTGGCGTCCTTGAACTTACCCAGCATCTCTCTAATGTGGGCACGGGCCAGCTCCTTGACGCGGTTGTCGTGCCAACCTTCCTGGTCACCAGTTCCATTCGTATTTGCCAGTGCGCGCCCAGACCTTGAACGCGCATCGTCATCAACCGTTACAGCAACACGGCCACATCGGACTTCATCCGGGGGAACGATACTTGTTGCTTTACGGGGGTGGAGCTTCGTCTGGCGACGGGCGCCATCAAGCACCTTGACCGCGGCGCACAAATTCGAGCCCACAGTCCCGTCGCGAGAACGATCCCGGCCAGCAAGCATATCCCGAAACGTTTGATTCCACAAGCGACGCTCGTGACAACGAACAATGCGTGAAGAACATTGGCAACCTGCGGTGCTGTAGAAGCGAACAATATAGCAGAAAACTGGGGCGGACCAACGGTATCCACAGCCCCCTCCCCCCGGAACCAACATCTTGAACCAACATAGCAGTGGAGGAAAAAGACGAAGACCAGGAGGAGGAGGAGGAGGAGGAGGACACGGAGGATGAGGAGGAGGCGGAGGAAAAGGCGGAGGAGGGGGAGGAGGAGGAAACGGAGAAGGATGAGGAGGATTATGCTACGAACGAGGGGGCCGCATGACGGGGAGGGGAACGGGGGAGAAGAGGGAGGGTGGGCAGGGGGAGAGGGAAAACGGGTGTGGGCTTATTCGGCATCCACAGCCACTGAACCACCTATCGGCGGCCCATGCCGTCCATGCCAACAATCACCCCCGATCTGTTGGGATGAGAGCCCTTGCGGAGCATGGGCCGCACCTCCTTGCGAAGCGCATTGCCCGCGGGAGGGGGGTGGGGTAAAGGGGAGGGGGGGGTCAAAAGGTAACATCAGGGCTATGCCCCCCTGTGTGGCTCTCATGGGGCGGGTGGGTGGGCTCGGGAATGAGGCGAGGACAACGGGGACCTGCCAGCGAAGACTCGAGCGTATACAAACTCGCAGAGTGTCGGACGTCATACCTCTCCTCTTCTCCTCCTCCTCCTCGTCCTCATCCGTTTCCTCGTCCTCCCCTTTTCCCTCGGGCCATATGGGTCCCGAACGCTCGATCATCGCAACGTATCGTACTACGCGGGCAAGCACATGGAAATTGTCGACTTCCCCCAGGTGGTGGGCCAACGGTAGCGATCCGAGGAGGGAACAGGGGCAAGGAACAGAAGATGATGGGGGGAAGATGGAGGTGACCTGGACGGGACATTGACATGGACGCGAACATCAAAGCCAGATATTGAGGATCAGATGTGTGGAAGTGAGCGAATGGGCAAGAGGAAGGGCAGAGGGGCTGAGGGGAGTGAACTGTTGGCGGGGGGGAGGGCCCTGAGGAGAACGAAGACAGGAGGGGTGGAGGAAGCAGCTTTGTTCGACTCTATCTGCCTCTGCCCTAGCAGCGCGAGGCGCCCAGCGTGCTGGGGGGGGGGCGCGTGTATCCTTGCGCCCCGCCGCTGCCCGCGCCCGAGCGGGCCAGAGAGCACCCGCATTTCTCGAAGGCGCCGAGGGCGACGACAACGCGAGCACCGTCGCATGGATGAAAGCAGCCTGGATCGACTGGAGCCACCAGCCCTGCCTCCCTGCCCCAACCTCCGACGATGCGAGGATCGCCGCCCGCGCCCGCGCGTGCGAGAGAGCTCACGCCCACCCCGAAGGAGCCGAAGGCGACGACAGCGCGCAGAGGAAGAAGGGTCGGGCGGGTGGGACCCAATATGGGGGGGACCCAATACGGGGGGGGACCCAATAAGGGGGGGGGACCCAATATGGGGGGGGGAGAACAGGGGGCCCCAAGGGGGCGATTTCGGAACCCCTTTGTGGAGCCAGCAGGGGCACGGTCCGGGGCCCTTTTGCTTTACCTCCCACTTATCGGAGGCGAGCGAGGGGGGGGGAACTGAAACAGAAAGAAAGAGCCTTCTCAGATGGCCGCGGGGCTTCTCAAACACCCTCCAGCCCTCTGACCAGTGTTCCGTGTCTCCGGGGAAGGCTCAGAGCACTTCTCAGCAGGCCACTTGCCATCCGAGCCTTCTGAGAAGGCCCCCCCAGGCTCGCCGCCGAGCTTAGGTCACCGTCCCCCCCACCACCCGCCCGAAACTGGCCAGCGCTCGGACGTCCATTCCCTGTGTTTGCGGTTTCGTGCGTGCGTGTTTTTTTCGCAGGATGATCCAGGATGTTCCTGAATAATCCCCGCCGAGAAAAAGTGCACACGTCCGAGCGATACCAGGGAAAGGGGAGGACGGGGGCAGGGCGGCGAGAGGGAGGGGCGGCTGCCTGCTCGGGCCAGGCGAGCTGCGCGTCGTAGTAGCTGGCCTCTGCCCTCGCCGCCTCGGCCTGCCCGGCGCCTGCGGCGGCCAGGCGGCGTCCTCCTCGCCCTGGCCCTCTTGCATCTGCCCCTCGCTCTGCCTCCTCCTCCTCCGCCTCGTCTCCCTCCTTCTACCCCTCGTCTTCTTTTTCTTATTATTCTTCTTCTTCCTCCTCCTCCTCCTCCTCCTCCTCCTCCTCCCCTTCTCTTTCGCTCCCCATTCCCCCTCCTCTGTCCTCTGCCCTGCCTTCACTCCCCCATGTTGTCCCCTCTTGTCCTTCCTCCCCGCCTTCCTCATCCTCTGCCTCTTCCCCCTCATCTTCCTGCTCTCCTTCTCCACTGTCGCATTCGCAATATGGGAGCGGGGGTCGAACGAAAGGTTAGGCCATCGGGGCTAGATATCGCTGGGAGGAGACTGGGTGACTAAAATGCGCTGGAACCGTGGAGGAGCAAGGAGGAGTGGAGGCCGAGGAAGATGAGCAGGAGGAGAAGGGAGCACAACTCATGACAACAATCGACCCTGGCCGGAGAGGCACACGTCGTTCACACGTGACCCTGCGGATCTCAAACCCTGCTTCTTTTTCATTGTGCATGGACACAGGATGGCCGCAAGCATGCCTGGATGTCAAGAGCGATGCCAGCGCGGGGGCCCAACGGAATCGAAGGATGCAGGAAAGCACTCTCAATGCAACGATTCCTTGTGAGATTCGAACACGGGGCTTGCCGCGGCCCGTCGAATTCCCGCCGAACCAAGGCAAGCAGTACATCGGGGCACTTCGGAGCCTTAGCGGGCGTTGGAAACGGGGCGGGTGTTCTCGCTTCGTGTCGGGTAGGGCTAGGGCGGGTTGGGTGGGAGGGGGGAAGGTGTGTGTGTGTGTGTGTGTGTGTGTGGGGGGGGGCAACTGCCTCGCGAATATGAACACAACAAACGCTATTTATATCTTAATCATAAAGTACGGTGTGAAGCCGTAACACAAGAGGGCGCGACCACGACAACCGCGCTGGGCCGCGAATTTGCACCCTGAGGTCCCCCATGGTGCCCGAACACAATACGAACAGCATCCAGCAATAGCAGCAACGGATAAGCAAACAATGGCACTACTGAAAGGGCTGAAAGCCCGGAAGGGGTGTCAGCCGCAGACAAAGCGAAATCGATGCGGCACATGCATTCGAAGCGGCAAAGAACACATTCCACACGGAATCTGGGAAGACGGCACCAACGCACGGCAACCACACATATACAAAAACGCGGGACCAAAAACGGACCAATTTAGAGGCCAATCGTTTTTTGGCTGGACCAAGGCTATCGGCCAATCGGGGCACACCGGGGTTCTGCGCGCGTGCACTTAATCACTCATCAAAGACAGGAGGTTTTGCAAGACCTCTCATCAGAGACCATGCGGGCCACACGCGCACGCATGTCGAGATCATTCAACAACTAGCGCGCGCCCGCCAACTTTGTCAAACAACATAATGCAGACTACACACGCGTATCCCCGCGCGTATGCCAAGAGCATTGCAGAACCATGTTTTCAGTCATTGTAGAAGTCAGCCCTTCAAGCGCAATGAAGCGAGCCACTTGTTTGTCATTGACAGAACACATTTCACAGTTTCAGCGCGTGCACAATTTTCATACCCTCAACACCGTCGTTGATATTATGCGCTCAATAGCTACGTTAGCACCCCAAATCGTGCGCACAATATTATGTACCGCGCATGCTTAACCCACGCTCATACACATGTCGATGTATGTAAAGATACGCGTATCTGTGTATAGGTATGACAGTGTGCCCCTATACATATATATATATTATATACGAAGCACAGAATCGGTTACACAATGCCGCTGTCTGAGGTCCACGCGCTGGCATAATTTGCTTGCATGTTGTGACATTTGCTGCGTACCTCTGTAACATGGCATCCGCGCGCAACCCGTGCACTAGAGCAGCGCGCACTCCTTGCATCGTCAGGGGAAGCTTCCAGCGGGCCGCTATTCGTCAGAGGTTTGTCTAAAACTGCTTGCGGCGCTCAGGAAACATAACGTGCTCGCGCTTAGAGCAACCACTAGAAGCGAAATGATCGAACAACATCTTCGACACAAACAGCAGCACGGTATAATACAACCGATGCATTACGTCCGCGTTTCCAAGTGCATGCGCTCATGCGTTTGCATGGTTTGCGTACGTCTGCGCTCAAAGAGCGGTGCGTAGCTCGTTGTCGGCCACAGGAAAGGTGATGATCCACCTTGTCTACAGGAGATCGACTCAATCAGAGACGATCGACGAAGCTGACGGCAGCCTCGTCCTGCGGACTCTTCTCAAGGCGTCGCAAACGCACGCGAACGTCCACATACTCTTTCACTGAAAACCTGCCGGAACTGACCAGTTCCGCTTCTTCAGAGGACTCCCAGATGGGTCGGAGTAGATGCGGTCGAAAGATCGCGCCGCATGATCGATGCATCAGCGATGCACCGGTGGTGCGCTGGCGACCTCGGCCATGCATCAGCAACGTTGACGTGGAGAGTCACGGGCTCCACATCGAGCCGTATCGGCGATGCATCGGCGATGCGGCGCGCTCCTCCGACCTCACTTACTCGGACCCCATTCTCAGACATCGGGCGTCTTGATTGTTTCGAAACGCGGGCCCCCGACCTCTCCACCACGACTGGTTTTCCATCCCGAGTTGTTTTTGACGGTCCAGGTGCCCGTTGAGGGGCCCCAGAGGCCGAAACCGCGGACAAAATGCTATCTCGATTTCTTCGAGGCGCCAGATGTCTGGGTCTAGGAGGCCTGGAGATTCTTGCAGGACAGACGTGCGGGAGGCACTCGAGCGCGAGCTCGCTGGGCGCGACCAGCGCGCCGAGCACCGTGCGCAGCCGCTCGCCACGACCAGTGCGCGTAGCACGGTGCACGGCCGCGTGCCACCTTCCGCCCGTGTGCCGCGAGAGCGATGACCCTCAGAACGTACGCTGTGCGCCAACGTCGGCGCCTGAAGCCGCCTGCGAAGTCGCCCACGGGCCGCCTCTCGGCGGTGGAGGCCTTCCACCCTCCTCGTCCTGCGGCCGCCCTCCTCTTTTCCACCCGCTCCAGCACCCGCACCCAGCACGCCCTGCCGCCAGCGACCCCCGCGCCCGCGCCTGCTGGCGCCGCCGATTACAAAGTTTTTCGCCAGCGTGTGCTTGCCCGCCGCAGACCGTCGATACGACGAAGGCGTCATTCCGAAGGCCGACACGAATTGCGTACTATCGACAATGCCAAACGGCATAAACACACACACACACACACATCAGGCTAACACACGTCCTGAGGATAATCGAGAGAGGACGGTGCAGAGGTTCACCACGATCCCCCGGGGACGGCAGAGGAAGAAAACAATGGCATGCACAGAATCAGACTGTTGGAGGCCCTTGCGGATTTCTTGGAGCGGCGCTGGACCTCCCCTTCTGGCGTGCGGGGCGCAGCAGGGGCGACGCGGCGCCGGAGGCGCCGCCAGGGGAGCCAGCGCCGATTCGAGACTTTTGCGCGGAACGTACAAAGTTTTGTCTTTAGTGAAATTGTTTCTCTCATCGAGACAGGGGGGGCACGGGGAACCACTTACCTCTGTAGAGGACCTCGGTGCCTGCTGGGTTGTCCCAGTCCAGCCAAAGGAACACCAAGCTTCTGCTGTCTGCGTGCGCGCAATAACCTACGGTCTGCTGCACCAGCTTCCCCGTCATCTCAAGGTGAAAAGCGAATCGCACGGTCCCTTTGGCAGGATAAGGAGCCTCAGGAGTTCACCATGCAAAGCACCCAGCGCGATCTCCATCAGTGCTATCATCGTAAGCCTGAGTTCGTACAGCGCGGCGTGCAATCTCCAGAGACTGCGCCGCAACTTAGGCGGCGAGCATGAAATTGAGCCCCCGCGTGGCACATCAGAAATATCCTGGGCAGAATTGGGCTCAGAGATGGGACTGCTGCACGCCCCATGGCCTGCCGCCAAAGGCTGCGAACCTGTGATAATCAAATGTTCGCCCCCGGTCGGAACGATTTGCGGTCTGCCCGGTGAGCTGGCCCCCCCCCCAGACTCCATTTGGTTTAAGTAGCCGCCGAAACCGTAGCCCTGTCCAAGATCGTACCCGAGCTTCTCGGCGAGGGGCAAATCAAAGAATTCTTTCGCAGCGTGGTAGGCTTCATCGAACGATCTGTCCCCGACACCGTGGCCGGTGATTACAGCAAATCCGAGCTCTGCAAACGCGCGACTCACGCTGTTCGCGAGTTGCCACTTGGCAGCATGCGGCCCAGTGTGGAACGATGACACATCAGTCTTCGGCACATCTACGTCTCTGTGAGCTGCAGCGACAAATACCACCGCGGTAGCTGCAAACTTCAAACATTCGTGCCAACAATGCGTCCGCAGGACTCGCAAGAACTGTCAGTACAGAAACTACACCTGTCCTTGCTCGTGCCTGCTTGACTTGAACCGAAACAACTCCGGGCAAACACATGTTCAACCGTTTGGCCGACAATGGTACGGACATATCTGCTTCACGCTCGCATAGTTCAAGCACGCTCGCAATATCATATTGTCACGACATGCGAGAAGCAATACCCTAGCCACCGCATGCGTGGATATGAATGAGGGGGCGACGGGTCGTCGGCGGACTGCGAGGCTCCGAAGAAGCCCGCCGCAAGCAAGTACTTTTTACACATTGCACAATGAGCCCACCGCAGGCGGCGAATTTTCAAAGCAATGTGGGTGGGTCGTGGGTTGGCCGTGGGTGGGTCGCGGGTCTGGGCATCGCTCGGACGTCCATTCCCCGTGTTTTCTCCGGTCTCGTGCGTGGTTTTTTCGCCACATGATCAAGGATGCTCCTCGATGGTCCTCGCCGAAGGAAAAATGCGCACGTCCGAGCGATGCCAAGGGGTGGGTCGCGGGAAACTCGCGGGCGGGTCGCGGACGGGTCGCGGGCGGGTCGCCGGCTGGATTGCGGGCGTGTCGGGGGCGGGCAGCGGGGGAGGGCTACGCCGACAACAGCAACAGTCATGGAAAGACTAGTCGCTTTCAGAGGTTCGCGTGCCATTGAACATGCATCTCCCAACCCCTCGACACCCGCCGTCTTCGTCTTTGGCTGTGCCCCATTTGGGGGGTGTATCGTCCTTCCCTGCCACGTGATGCTTCCAAAACAGGAAGAGCCGAAAACATTGAACGGGAGAGACCGAGGAAGGAGTGGAGGAAACCTTCCTCCACACCCTTCATCGCTCGCTCCGTCCTTCTTGCTCCTTTTCAAGTGGCAAGAGGGAAGGAGAAGGTGTAGAACGAGAGGGAAAACCAAGAAGGACATCTCAGGCGGGAGCGCGGCTCCTGGGTTAATTATGAGGCTGCCCCAAACGAGAACGCGATTCGAAAACGCAGAAACATCGATCCGTGAATAATTTGTCAAGAAGTCTTAGGCGAGAGCGCGATTCCTCTGTCACTTCCAAAGAAGCCTCTGGCGAAAACCTGGTGTCTTCATACATTGTGAGGAAACATCAAGCGGGAACCGTGGTTGCGGCAAGCTGGGGGCCAGCGACACAGTCTGAGGCTTAAAACTTCCCCTTGTAAAAAGCAGGGTGCGCGCCCTGGGATGGGCACTTCAATTGAAACATACATAGGCGCTGGCGGTTGGGGATGAACAGAACATATGCTTTTGAAATGAAAGTTCAATAATACTCACCGCGGATGCCCGCCTCAGGCACTCACTTCGGGTTGGTGTAAGACCATTCGGCCCCATCGCTCTGATCATATTGTCCACACGTACACGCACACTCACACACACACACACACGTACTCACACACGTACACAAACACACGTACACACACGTGTACACGCACGTACACACATACCCACATACCAACATACACACATACACACACGGGACGCGTGAGCGTGTGGAGGGGAGTTCGCACGGTTCGCTGTTCCGATCTGGTTCATGCCCCCCCTTGTCCTTGCTGTAGGTTGAGGAGGACGAGGAGGAGAAAGAACAGGAGGCGGTGAAGGAGGAGCGGGGGGAGACGAGAAATGCGGAAGGCGAGGGTCAGGAGAAGGGTGCGAGGCGGAGGAGGAGGAGGAGCAAGAGGAGGAGGAGGAGGAGGTCAAGGAGGAGTGGTGCTGTCCTTTCTTCCCTTTGCTCGCTCGAAGGGCCATTCGCTGGCCTTCGAGGTCGACGCGGAAGAGCCGGTGCTGGTAGTGGCGGGGCAACAGGTACCTCCAAGGGAGCTCCCAGGCGGGAGATGCAGGAAACGGCAGCAAAGTGGAAATACACGCGGCTGGAGTCACGCGCAAACCATGCGGATGTCTTTCGCTAATCGGGGATCTACTGACCTGGGTCAGTCCAAACCCAGGCCGATCAGGCTTTGCAAGATCCTGCACGATCTTGGAGAGCCCCGCAAGGTCCTGCACCCTAGCCCGGGTCAGTGCACCCCTGGCCCTGCAAGATCCTGCAATATCCGGCGCTCTGACTGGCCCCGGTTTGCATTGACCCCCTTTTCTTGAACCGTGAGCTAGGCACACATGGCTCGTTACAGAGACCCTGAGCCCCGAAGCATACGTCGTCTCTTGGAGGGCAGATGTTTGCTTCCGCTGGTCTTCTTCCGCCGGCGGGGGCTGCCTCGTTTTACTCCCGCCGCCGTCCGCCTGCCTGCCGCCGCGGAAGAGATGTCAACTCCTTTAGTTAGTAGTTCTCCGAAGGCGAGCCCCTCTCTGGAACGTTCCGTGTGCATCAAGCTTCCTGGTAGCAGCGGCGACATAGCGACGGCCTGAACGAATCAGGATGCCAGGGCGCGGCTGGCAACATCGTCGAAACACTTTCTGAGCCGCGACAAGCACTTAGCCCTTAGCCACTGATCACGAATAGTCTGGGCAGTTGAAGGGCATCGGCGACATGCCACCACTATGCGACAACACTTCGGGCATGAGCTGGATCTCGGGAGCGTAAGAGCTCTGCGCGGTGCAATGAACGAGCCAGAGCACAAGGACAGAAATCCGCCGACCCTGTGTCGGCGGATTGTGAGGGGCTTGTCCGTTCCCGTCGTTCGTTCGTCCTCGTCTCCGTCGTCTCCTGTCCCTGCGCCCACCCTTTCCCTGGCCAAGTCGTCTCCTGTCCCTGCGCTCCCCCTGTCCCTGGGCCCGCCTCTCCTCCTCCCCTTTCCCCCTCTTCCCTGGGCTTGCCGTTCCCCCCCCGCTTTGCCAGGGCCCCCCCTTCAACAGCAACGCTGTCATTTGAGTCGAAGGGAAGCCCCTTCCCTCCCTTGCCGGGGGGGGGGTCCCATGCAGGGGGTGTCCCGGGGGGGGTCCCGCCGGCGCAGATGCGACTCCCCACTGGTCCCTGGGCCCACGCGCCCCAGCCCCGGCCCCGGCCCCATGCAGTCCAACCCCATCCCCGGCTCCGCTTCCGGCCCCGGCCTCGGCCTCGGCCGGTCCCGGCCCTGGCCCCACCCCGAGTCCCAGCCCCGGCCCCATGGCCCCGGTCCCGGTCGGCCCCGGCTCTCGTCCCGCTGGCCCCAGCCCCGGACCCATTCCCGGCCTCGGCCCCGGCCTTGGCCCCGGCCCCGGCCCTGGCCCCGGCCGGCCCCGGCCCGGCCCCGGTCCCGGCCCCGCGGCCCCAGTCCCATGGCCAGCCTCGGCCCCGGCCCCGGCCCCGGCCCTGGCCCTGGTTCCTGGCCCGCTCCGGTGGGCCCACTTTGAGGCCCGCCTCAAACTATCTGAACTATCCACTAACTATTTTTCAAAGTTATGTTCAGAAGGTATAATGGAAATATACTGAAACTATAATACAACCACAACAAAAAACAAACAAAACCAACAAACACAACAAAAAACAAACAACACAAAACAATTCTCAACCAAATAAACATATATATATATATATATAACAAAAAAACGACCCAAACCAAACAAACAAACAAACCAAACCATACAGCAAAACCAAAACAACAGCACAACCCAAACCACACAAACAAACACAAACAAAACCAAAACACACACAAACCAAACCAAAAACAACACACACAACACCAAAACCCACAGCAAACAAAACAAAACCCATCAGCCAAACATCAACAAACCACCTCAACCAAAAACACACCAACCCTATCAATGACGCATCAACCACATCAACAAAACAAACCACCAACCACATCAAACGAAATCAAACCAACCACATCAAATGAAATCACCAATTAACATTAACCAACCGAAAAAAGAAATCACCAACCACATCACATGACATCACCAACCACATCAAACAACATAAAAAAATGAAATCACCAACCACATCAAAATATATGAAAGCAAAAGCACGCACATGCAAAACGAAAGCGGCCAAACACACGCCATGCCGATGCGCCGCTGACGTTGTCGCCATCGAAGCGGAGAAAGGGAGGGAACATGATGAGGATGAGTGAATATTAGTTGTACGATGATGGTTTTCGATGCTTATGTTAATGATGATGAAGTGCTTGTAATGATGATGATGGCGACGATGACGATGATGATAGTTATGGCGGCGATGCTCAGTGCCATCATGATGATGAGTTGGATGAGGATGATATGGCGAGCGTGCTCGCCAAGGTTCGTGCCGATATGGCGAGCAGTGAGGATGAGAGTTGCGGAATGGAGGCTGATATGGCGAGCATGCTCGCCAAGGTTCGTGCCGATATGGCGAGCATGCTCGCCAAGGTTCGTCTGCCTCTGCTCATCGTCCCCCCCAGCCTCAGCATGATCATCATCAGCAGCATCGCCGTCGCCAACATCTGCGTCGCTATCGGTGCGCGCGCTCTTTAACACGCACTTATACATAGTGAGGCACGCGGTGGCGGCGAGGCCCCAGCTCGCTACGTGCCTCAAATGAAGTACTCGCGGGGCCCCATGGCGCCCGCGGAGCATTTGCAACCGCGCCTCGACCTGGAGCCCCCCGACGGCACGATGGCGAGCCAGCTGGCGAGCGGTGCGTGCTTTGCACGCGCCGTTCGCCGAGTACAAGCTCCGCCAGGACGAGGGCCCGAATTCGGGTGAACCTCGCCGAGCGGACGAAGCAGACCTGAGCGCGACGCTCCCCGCCCCCCTCCATACCACATGTGCGAACATGGTGTGGGAGCAAAGCTCTACTGCAACATGCATGCCTGCCCTCTCCGCCGAGCAAAGCTCGCGCAATGCCGCCTCCATAAATCGTCACCCGCCACTCCTTCCCCTTATCCCTCCCCCATATACCCGCGGGGCGCCGCATTCAGGTCCACCTCATCCGCTTGGCGAGGTTCACCTTCGGGTCTTCGCCCCTGCAGAGCTGCAGGTGCTCGGCGAAGGGCGCGTGCAACGCGCGCGACGCGCCCGCCAGCTGGTCCGCCATCGCGCCGCCGAGGAAGTCCCCGATCAAGCGTGGCGCCAAGTGCTCCGCGGGCGCCATGGCGCCCCACGGGTACTTCAGCCGCGCGATCTTCGCGAGCTTCTCATCGCTCGCGGCGCCAGCTCCCCAAGCGGCGGGGCGGCGCGCCAGGCGAGGGGCCATGGCGGGCGAAGCCTGCCTCGAACGGGGGGGGGGGGGGATGAACGCAAACGCGCCTAGCCCCGAGCACGACGAGGCGGCGAATGCATCCAAAATCAAGTCATGTGCGAGGCGCGCTCGCATGCAATCGCATGAGTACAGCACATGTGGCCACATCCGATGTATGACAGCATAACATGCACGCGTACTTGCATCGCGCATCGCGTCATATGCAACCAACGGCCGCACGATTACAACACGTGGTCACACGTGGCAGCACGAGATGGCAGAATGGGCGAGCAACGCTCGCGAGCATGTGTACATGCGCGCACATTTTTCACGGCCGCTTGCGGTCGTCGAGTGGTGCATGCGCCAGGCCTTCGCTATGCGCAATGGCGCGTTGTATGCTCTGGAGCCTCGCGAGCTTCAGAGACGAGTCGCCCTTAAGGGCGACCCACCGCCAGCGCGATAAGGCCTCGTAGTGCATGCGCTGGACGAAGGCCAGGCTCACGCCGTCTACCTCAACGGGTTCATGGGCCTTCCCGAACTCGATGTTGTCCGCCTCTCGGTTCGATCGTTTGCGCGCGACGCGCCGCAGACACCGAGAATGCGCACATGTATCACCGACATGCAAGAAGCCAGCATTTGAGAAGACTGTCGGCGTGCGAAGCACGCCGTGCAAAGTAACAGTCGAGGCAACGATGGCGACGATCCGATGGAAGGTCGATGGGCGATCGGCGGGTTGATATCGGAAGCGGTTACACAGCATGGACGCGTGAAAAGCACGCGATTGGAATCACTGAGGGCGTGCATATCACGCCGCATGGGCAAGGATCATGACGTCGATGGCGGCGACAAGATCGATGGGGAAGGGGTGAAGTGGATGGTCATGCGCGCGAAGCGGTCGAAGGGCCGCGCAGCTGCACCGCTGCGCCACAAGGCGCTCTTATGCTGGCGAGCGCGCGAGCCTGTCGCTCGAGCCACGTTCGCAAGGGACGGCGAGCGGGGACGAGCTTGTCGCTCCAGCCTCGCTCGCAAGTGGCGGCGAGCGGGGGACCTGTCGCTCCAGCCCCGCTCGCAAGTCGACGTCGTCGTCGCCGTCGACGTCATCGTCCCTCGTCGTCGTCCTCCTGCTCCTCCTCCTGCTCCTGCTCCCCCTCCCCCCCCTCCCCCTCCTCCTCCCCCTCCGACGTCGGCTGGCCCCGCTCAGGGGGCGGGCCCACATGGGCCCGCGCGCTGCCCCGCGGCGGCGCGCGCGGCCGCTTCTGCCTCCAACAGCCTCGCGGGCGGCGCCTTGGGCTGCGGCGCGCCAGGGGGCGGCGGCGGCGGCGCAGCCCGCTGCCCGAAGATGGCCGCCGCCGCCCGATGGCGGGATGCAGCGCGCTGCTGCTGCGCGAGCTCGCGCGCCGCGGCTTGGGCTGCCGCGCCCTCCGCGCGGCGAACCACCCGCGCCTCCGCCTGCAGCTCTCGGAGGTGGAAGCCGCGAGCCCAGTCCTGCAGCTGGCGCTCCTGCAGCGCCTCGCGGAGGTCCTGCAAGCGCTCATCCTCCGCGCGCTCCTCCTCCGCGCGCCCCTCCGCCTGTGGGAGAAGCGGGATGAATATGAATGGGAAGGGGGAGGGGGATGAATGAGAAGAGTTCAGGGGAGGACGTCCGAGGAGGAGGTTGGGAGGAGCGAGCGATGCTCACAAGGAGAAGGACAAGCGCCTGCGCCATGAACGGCGGCGCC